CGGGGCACCTGCCCTCCGGGAGCCGCCGTATGCATGACACTCCGGAAAGGCGAGAAGACCACCATCAGCATCCAGGAGCACATGGCGATTGACGTCTGCCCGGGACCCATCCGGCCCATCAAGCAGATCTCGGACTACTTCCCCCGCTTCCCCCGCGGCCTGCCGGCCACGGTCAGCCGGAGCAACAGCCTGCGCTCCTCGGCCGGCCCGGCGGCCGTCAGCCCCTCGGAGCCCGCGCCCCGCGAGGAGGATGAAGACGTCGACCAGCTCTTCGGCGCCTACGGGACTCGACCGGTGGAACAGCCGCCGCCGGCCACGCCGCCCCCGCCGCCGGCGGCGTCCAAGCCGCGGGCCGAGGAGGAGGAGGAGGAAGGGGTCGACCCGGAGGGCTACGAATCGGATGATTGCAGTAAGTTCGGGAGCCTTTGTCCCCCCCCCACTTCTCCAGCTGAGTTCGTGATGTGCGTGTGTCCGTGTGTGCGTGTGTTGGTGTGGGTCTCATGCGGTCTTCATCCAAAGTTCTCCTGGCTGGGGAGTTTTCTCTGCCACCTCCCGGGAGCCTGGATCGGGCCCCCGTTTCAGAAGGCCAACCCCTGGAGGTCAGAGGGAGGCTTGAAAGGTCGAGCCACCCGCGGCCCCCACCCTTCGGGGCTTGTCCTCCCCCTACCCTTTGCTCAGTCCCCTCAGAATGGCGCGGAGCCCCGAGCTGTGTGCCAGGCCGGTGCCCATCGGGTCCAGACCAGCGGGTGAGGGGCTTGCCAAGGGGTTGCTGGCATTTGTGAACTGGGGGGACTTGGTTGAAGGGGCAGGTAAGCTTCCTAGAAGCCCCACATCTGGCAAGACCAAGAGTTCTCAAAAGGGAGAGAAAGAGAGAGAGAGAGAGGGAAGGGTCCCCAAATTCTGGTGTGCTTCTCTTCCAGCCTTGTGCCCATCATCCTCCCAAGGAGCCTAGTTTCTCCCTCTCCCTCTTAGTCTTTCCCCTTCCTGTTTCTCCCACTCTCTGCGATTGTGGAAAAGTCTCCTGACCACTTTTTTTCTTTCTTTCTTTCCTTTTAAACCGTAAGCTCTGTGCGTTTTGCCTTTCCAGAAACCTGTTACCATCTTCTCCGCCTTCCCCATCCATCCTCCCGCCTTTCCACCCTCTATTTTCCCTCCTGCCTTCTTCCCTTCCATCATCCTGCTTCCCCCTGAACCTAAGACTCCCCCCCCAGCAAACCCCAAACATCCTTCCTGCCCCTCCTGGACTGTTTTTCTCTGCCATCAGCTTAAACGCTCCCCCCCCCCCCCCCGCGCCTCCTTCCCCTC